GTTGAAGGTTTAGATGAAGCTAATATTTTTGATAAATCTGAAAGCTCAACTGGATCAAAACGGTTCAAACACAGATGAGGTTCTATATTTACCTCTGATGCTACCTCACTTCCTGAGGACGAAGAAATCGTATTAGGGAGGCTGCCAATTATCGTGTTTCTAATATAATTAATTTTATTAGTGAAGAATCTCAAAGTTGTTACTGCTGAGGGCTAAGGGAATCGATGGTTCAGAGCTATGATTCTGTGTAAGTTTGGCAACTGTACTGAAAAGAAATTTTGGATTATTCTTATTCTCCTCAATTTGCGATGAAAAATAAGCAGTTCTAGCTTGTCGAAGCGTATTTTTATAAAGCACAAGACTATTTTTTCAGGATAAGTAGGACTCCTGGTGTGTAGAGTGCCATGTTCTCTCCATTTTTCTAGAGTTCTGTTTTAAAGTACATAGATCAGATTTAACCCAGGGAGCCAACTTTTTCTGCTTCATTACCTTCTTTTTTAAAGGGGCAACATCGTCTAATGCCACACGTAAAGAAGAAGTAACACAATGAACTAGACCATCACTATGTGAAGGGCTAGAAATAAAAATTAGTGTCCTCTGCTGTGTTCCTCTGAGATGCTGAAGACAATAAAGATGGAACAGTGTACATAAAAGATGCTACAGCTTTGTCAGATAGAAATCAACTGGCCAGCCTGAGATCCCAACTGCTCAAGTTCTACTGGAGGACCGCTAAGAGGTGGTTCTGATCTAGTTAGCCCCTTGCTAGCTAAGGAGCTACAACTATCTATGTGCTTTTTCAACAACACAGAGCTTTGCCTCCAATTCCGACACCCTCGCCTCCAAAGCTACAAAAAGGCTACATTTATTACACGTATCATTACCACTAAAGGAGTTGGAGTAACTAAACATCTAATACACCGAGCAAGAGATGGGAGATGGCAAAGCAGAGACAGAAGCAGTCATAGCCGCTCTGAGGCTAAGCTAACTGGGCGAGAAACCCTTTCCACACCAAATAAACTGCGTGCGAACTCAAACGGTTCAATAAAAGCTAGGTGGAACAACAGAAAGTGTGTGTTTTTAATGTGTTTATGTGCTATAATAAGTCAGAATTGTCCCAGTACAGAGAAATCAGATGAATTTGTCACAAACAATGAACAGGTACACGGAGTGCAATACTGTAAACAGGAAGTGACGCAAATGCCTTACCGCACGAATATATAACCTTTAAATGTCTGAACATATTGATATAAATAAACTTGTTGTGTGTACAACTAGAGGGCAGTATAGGATAGGAAAACATTGGTAGAAAGAAGAAGTACTTAGAGGAAGTAAGATGGATGCCTGATACTGCTACATGTGATGCAGGTTCGAATAAAACTTGGCGAAAGCATTCTTGCCTTCTTGTTCCACTTTCTGATACAATGGCCAACCATAACAAAACTGAACTGAAGTGAATTCCAATGTGCAATTGTAACAGGGGACTAACACGGATGATGTCATTTGTGTTAATGGAAAACATAAGTCTGGCTACAGAGCCTAATGATGAATAAACAACAAACATCAAGGGTTTTATTTGGATGGAAAATGTGTAATAAAACAAAACAATAAATAAACAAACAGAAAACTTAAAAAGAGAACTCGCAACAACAAAACTGTCCAAACTAAAGTGCTCTCAATGGGAGGGAAAATCATTTATTTGAAAGCCAGACCTCAGCAGTTCAGTGAGTCAAAGTACTTCCAGTCCGTCAATATAGTTGTGATTAAACCAAAAAAACTCAAGGCAGTCAATTAATAGTGGTCCAAGAGATAGCAAACAATCCAATAAATGGCAGTTAATCCAAGCAGTGGTTAATAATCCAACTCTTTGTAGGGCACCTGGGCAACACAAGCCGACAGAAACGTAGCTCACTGACCAATACATTCTAGCTAAGCTTTACCTGCAGCTCACAATGTTTGTTTCTCAATGCCAGTATATTTAATGAACCTTTGCCTAACAACCTGTGTGAGCACTATCTGACATTGGGTCTTTTACTTTGGAAACTGTTCCTGTTGGAGTGGCACTTCATCTTATGTTCACACAAGATAATTATGCAGTTTCTGAACAAATTCACCAATTCTGACAATTCTAAGGATGTCATAACAGCTCAGAGGATAATCCTATCAGATATTCCTGCTGTATGTTAAAGACCAACGTCACTTTTTTCAAAAGATTTGCTGTGTTTTTTATGCCTTGTGAGTTGTTCTCTGTGGGAAAAAAGCTCCGGTTCTCCTGTTTCAGGCAGTAGACGTCAGCTGGAGGAGAGGGGAGCAGAAAATGGCAGGATTTGGTGTCTTGATTGTTTTTCTTCATGATATTTGGACATCTTGCCTCTGAATGGCTAACATCAAAGCGATTCTGACTCTGTTTGCAACACTGACGTTTTATCTCGACAAATAACACAAACTCAATGAAGATGTTAAATAATCTCAATCTATTACATTGAAATTGTTTACAGAACTGTTTATTAACAAACACTGACAGGATTTGGTTCTGATCCACAGAGGAACCATTTTTTTCCAGAGGTGAGATGTTCAAAAGTCAAGTTTAAAGCAGAAGTTCAGGAGAGGTTTGTTTTATTATTCTGGCTGCAGCTAAAGGTTCAACAACAGGAACAAAACACCTTAGATGCATTTTCTTTTAAGTATGTGTCACCTTTTAGCCAACATAAGAATTTTAAAGAGGTTTCTGGATATTGTGTACATGATTCACGGTAAACCCTTGTTTTCTGTGCATGTGGGTTGAATTATTCATTCTGTTTTCAGTCAGATGTTTGGTGGTGCACAAAGCTGTGTAGTGACACATAGACTGCGCTCTGTGTTAGGTGTTATCACAATCTACATGAATGCCATTGAGGAGAAGAGAAAGTGCGTGAACTGTAAAAATCTGAATCAAGAGAAAACAGGTGGAATGTCTTCAGTCATAAATCTCTCCTCTCAGACGTTTGCCTGGCAAAGCTAAAAGCTCTATAGTCTCAATGCTAATGGAGTCAGTCTGGATGTGTCTGGATGTGAATCTAATCACTTTGGACTTAATGTGTAGATTTTCTCAGCGCTGCAAAATTCAGTAACTCCACAGCTTCACAGCCTTCCACACGGACCAAGAGCTTTTATTTTTGCTATGTCAATATACGCCATCCAGATGATTAAAATGAGGTAAAGCAGAGTTGTCAGTTCTATTTTAAACAATCAGGATCTGACCTTCAACAAGTGTTTTCCTGCTTAAAATAGGCTACAAAAATTCTCTGTTTTTAATTTTTAATTTGTTCTTCTATATTTATAATGTTCAACACATTTTAATATAATCTAGGCCCAAGTAAAAAAGAGTTAACTATGTTTTGTCTTGAAAGTGAACATACTGTATATCACAGAAGTTTGACCAACAGCAAATCCATGAGTATATCTTAGTATTAGATATGGATTTATATAAAACACGCTAATAAAATGTAACTATGCTCCAAAGACCAAATTCAACAAATCTGCCGTGTTCGTGATCCGAAACATGCAGGAAATGTGCTGGAAGCAAACTGCAGGGTTGTCAGATCTATCTTTTCTAAGTCCCAACAGAGTGGCCTGCCAGTCTGAAGTTGCAAATGCGGTAATCTGGCCACAGGGGCAGTGGGGGTCCGAGTGACCGTGTAAAAGGTCATTTGAGCACATACTGGCTCAAGAAAATGATTTTAAAATATGAAAAAGTTGAAAAGTGTGGCGTTAATATCTTTGGTGACAACTGTGGTTTCTTGCAAAGATGACAACCACATAAAAATTAATCGGAACACAAATATTCAAAGATTATATAACACAGCTCCTTGAGACACCTCCAAGTGAACTTTCACCCTGTATGTCTTGATTGTACAATCTGTGAATGAATTGTTATATTCTTCAGCTACGGGAGCTGCAGCCCCAGTGGCCCTCCACTTACTACAGTAGCTAAGTAAAAAAATCACAGTGCATAATGTGTCTAGGATCTAATGATTACCTGCCCTCAGGTACCGCTAGCATGCTAACACTTAGCTAAGGAATTCCATTAAACGTCAAACCAGTGCTAAAACCTGGTGAAGCCCTCTAGGTGTGTTGGAGTGAAGCCAACCCACGTAGGAAGCGTTACGCTGCAGGCCAGCCAAGCCACAGCTGCTCTGCTTAAGATAACACACACATCAGGAGAAATCCACAATATGATTCCCACATGTTCTCCATGACCGTCTGTGATGTAGCGACCCTTATTGTTGATAAATATTATCTTCAGCTTCACATTATTCTTGTCAAATTACACTCAAGATGATGACGTCTCGTGGAGTTCACTGTAAAAAATGGAACTTAGGGAAAATAGATTGGCACCTATCTTACAGATCTGGGATAATAAACTATTTTATTGCTGATTTGTTTCCTGTGGAGCAGATTCCTTTAAGATTTTCCTTCCAAAGCGTTGGTTTTAATTATCTCAAAGTTGTCTAACCACTCATTGTGGTTTGAGGGAATCTCAAACAGCTTTTTTTGTTGCAGAATTCTGTTTGTTTTTTAGGATCTTGTTCCTTACAGCTTAGCAGCAGCAGCCTTTGTTCCCTCTCTACCTGCTGCTTGTTATTGCAGCAAGCTGCTCCTCCGAAGTCATTAAAACAGAGCGGAGAGTCTAATAAATGATGATTTTATGCTGAGTGTCTCTTTGCCTGAAGCTTTCAAGTAAAAACATGACTGAAAGGACTCTCCTGAAGGTAGAGCGAACAAACTGTCCCGCATGGCTTTCTGCAGACCAACTATTTAACATATAACTAAATGCTAGTTATGTGATTGTTGCTGTTAAATACTAAATTCTAGTTCTGCATTAACATGTACAGTTTTTAATTATCTATCTGATGAGCTAAACAAACAACTCCTCTCATTCAAACTAAAACTGAAACCCAAAAGTCAAAATGTTTCCAAACAGAAAATAATAAATCCTAAAAATCAGTTTAAAACCAACTCACCTGGAATTCCCCCCAGATTAGAGAAAAGAAACCGTTTAAGTAGAAAATAACGTCGGGATTGCAACAGGAAAAGTTTTACGGGCTGCAGAAGTATCCAGCTGACGTCCAGGTCCTGTTGGTGAATGTGTAAGAGGGATGGAGCGGCGCGCGTGTGTGTGTGTGTGTGTGTGTGTGTGTGTGTGTGTGTGTGTGTGTGTGTGTGTGTGTGTGTGTGTGTGTGTGTGTGTGTGTGTGTGTGTTGGCTTGACCCTCTGTTGTTCCCTTAGGCATCTGGATTTCAGATTAGCTCCTTTTCCTCGCTCTCGTCCTTTACTCTGCAGACAGGAATCCCCCCCCCCCCTCTCTCTCTCTCTCTCTCTCCTGCTCCACTCATCTTTCCCCCCACTTCCTCTCCGAGACTCTTCTACCACCTCACACTGTTGGAAACATGAACTTCTTTCCTTTTTACAGTTGTGTCTCCCTGTCACGACTATGTGCTTTACTTTTGACCCCCCCTCTCCACCTCTGTTTTTCTTCTGCCTTTCTCCACATGCTTTCACATCCTACACAGACCCTCTGTGTTTCTTCTTGAGGTGAATTAGTGTGTGAGTACAGATTAGTCAGAACGATTGTGCGCCTGCAGCTGAACACACCCGAACATCCTTTACAGCTGCTTGGAGGCAGTGAGGGGAACCCACCAGTGAATCCAGTTGGATGGGCGGGCTTCAAAACTACATTGTACCTTAAGCTCAGATAGTCCCGTGGTGTTGAATTAGATCCGTACAGTAGCTGTGTCAATAAAGGAGCACAATGCGAAGCTTGGCTTTCCGTAGGCTTACTGATGGCACGCACTGGTTGAACAGAAATCCCAGACACATTGTCCATGTTGATTAAAATAAATTAGATTTAATTTGAGATGGTAATCCAGCTGTTCATGCAGTCTAAACAAAGGTAAAGAATAGGTCTTTTGTTTTATTTGTGTGCCCACTCTGCCTGTTACCCCCCCCCCCCCCCCCCCCCCCCCCCCCCCGGCTTACAGGATGAGGATTGAGAGCCACAACTCAGACCCACCACGTGCATGGCAAGGGATACGGCACATCACAAATCAGACCAGCACCAACTCACCATCCAGCAACAATGCCAGACCAGCTGAAGAGCTCCACATCCTCTGAGGTGACGACTGCTGGAACCACAACTCCAGCTACAGCCAGTGGCGGTTCTACATGGAATTACTCCCTGGGGGAGACATCCCTTGAGCATCTGCAAGGAGGTGAAAACCTTTTCCCCTGATCCGTTGTTGTGAAGGACTCAGCTACTAGCACACAAATCCTTTGTAACCGACTTGTCCCGGTGGTCCAGGATCCAGCATGTTTTAGTCGTTTCCTGACTTCAACACACCTGATTTCCATCAGCAGGTGATTAACAGGCTTCTCCAGAGCCTGATAAGCTGCTGAACAGGTGATCCAACCACTGAATCAAGTGTGCTGGAGCAAGGAAACAACTAAAACACTCTGGATGGAGCAAGTTGTCTCTTGAATGTGTCCTGCTTTCACTAGAGCTTCTCGAACTCTCCAAACAGATCATTTAACACGGGTTTCTGCAGATAAGAAGCTGAACACTCACGTATCCTATTAAAACTCAGATCAAAACACCAGCAACACAAGAAACCACCATTTTTACATGTTGAATGTATTTTTGTCTTTACATCTAAGTCTTGCAGTTAATTCCAAATCAAACACACTTAAACTCAAATAGAAACACGCAGGTGGGTGATTTTAATCTCTAAATCTAAACTAGTCACCTGTTTCTTTAGGCATTACTTCTTGTTTATGCACTTTTGTCTGTTTGAGCAGGAAGTGTATTTAGAACGATAAGAGTAAGAGTTGCTTTTGACCTGCATCTTTGTTCTTGATCTCAGCGGTTCTGAACTCTGTTTTTATTCCAGCTATCCACCTTTGGTCCTCCATTGTTTTCCTTTCCTTGCCTTTTAGGCTGAAACACAGAGCACCCCCCTTTGCAAAGAAATCTTGATTATTTTTACTTGAAATAAAATTTTGACCCAGAAAGCGACGACTGGAAGCTTGTTTGGATTCAGATGGCGGTCCACCAGTCTCCAGTGAGAAAGATGCTAAATCTGCATTTGACATGGCGGCCTTGTTTGGTATGCTACTGATGTTACTGTGAAACAAAAGGTGATTTCTCAGTAGCAGACAGGACGATTTTCAGTTCTTCTCAAAAGTTTGAATAAGAACAGGAAAGTGAGAAGGGGTCTTAATAATTTGTGTTGCTGATCTTCAGAGAATATTCAAAGAGAGGGGAAACTCACAATTGCCCCCCCCTTAAATACTCTCGCATAACTGGATTCACCTGAGTATAAAGGTCAAGGGTCACTGAGCTTACCAAACCTATTTTGAGCTCAAATAATTAGTTCTAAAGGTTTTGGGATCAGTATGACAACAGTGTTCAAATTTATGCACCTGCCTAATTTTTTTGAACAATTATTAAACACTTTCTGTAAATCCTGTAAACTTTATTTCACTCCACAAATATCACTGTGTGTGTCTCCTGTATGCTATGTTTAACCGAAATTTTAATTTTAACAACCAACGATTTTCAGGAAAATCATGAAGATTCACAAGGCTGCCTAAACGTTCGCATCTCACTGTACATAATTTCACACAAAAATGTTTTTTGGAGATACAATAATTTACATGTGTGTTCATAATTGTTGTCATTTTGTTTTATTTTTTCACAATGCAAGTTTGATCATAAATCTGGGATTGAAGGGGTTAAATCTCACAAACACAAGAATATTTTATTACATTTTGTGAGGACTGTTAAGAAGTTAAGAATGAAATTCTTGTGAAAGAGTGGGACTTAGTGAATATTTTTTTATTTCAATATGAAATTTTATTTGAGCATTTTTGTGTATCAGGTGGAAATCTGTGACTTTTTGAGAAAATGTCTTGTTACACAAAAAATTCAAGGTGAACACATTTTTTTAATGTCCATTTGACACTTGAAACAATTCACCCCCAAAACAGGTTCTTCGAAATGAAATAAAATCTAAATTAAAATTACAATCTATTAATATTCTTTTCCATTAAAGATCAGTTATCTGTGAACACGTTTTTAGATTTGACATTATCCAGCTTAAGCAGACATCTGCTTGTTTCTAACAGAGTTGAGCCGTGGGAGAAAATATTCAGGCTTATTTTCCATCACCATGATGGTTTAGGCCAGGGGTGTCAGAGTCAAACTCACACGGGGCCAAAATGAAACTCTGGGACGGAGTCGAGGGCCAAACTTCATATTTTTTGAAAAAGTGACGGCAAATTTGCACATTTTCTTTATCAACATGTACGCAATTTTGAACCTTTAAATTTGGAAACAAACTTATTTCTGCATTAACACTGAATGTGGAATAACCAAATGACACACGAGCAAGTCAGTTTTAAATAAAAGGCATCAGTGGTATTCATTACTTGTGGTATAATCAGCATTTTTAAAATCTATTCAGGATTTATGTTTTCTTGTTTATTCATTTTTCTTATTTTTTATTCTCCTTTTTTCTCCTGTAATACGTGTCATCGCTGCTGTGACGTCTAGCTTTCCCCACTGAGGAACAATAAAGGGATTTTCTATTCTATTCATCTATCTGCAGCCTTTCCACTTCCTGTTTACTGTAGGTTAAATCTTTTCTCACGGGCCAACAACAAAATAAAAATATCATTTTATCTTAAATGAAAATGCAACATCTCACCTGTTAACTTTCATGTTTTGGAGCAGAAAAAGAGCATAAAACCAACATATTTAAAGCTCAGTTTGCTCCACTGGTTTACTGTGATGCTCACCTGTTCCAGCCAGATACCTGCATCATGGGGTTGAGCTCTGAGCAGCTTGACCACGTTGTTGTGTGTCGGGGAGGAAAAATAAAAACTACAGCAGCCACAGAGTCGTGCTGGTTTGAGCGTGTCGCTGCTCGCTGGAGTTATATCAGCTTTGTCTGGAAGTTAGTTGGAAAACTTTCTCTTTCTGTCATGAACACATTACTGAGCGGTTAAAATCTCAGTTTCTGGGCTTCAACGTCGGTAAATAGCTGAGTGAACTCGGCGCTGAGTGAGAGGAGTGTTTAGTTTGTCTGAGACAGCGGAGCTGCAGACACCATTGTTGTGCCAAAAGGCGACTGGCTGCCAAAAAATGATTAGCCACCGTGGGATCACTCACGGTTAGGGTAATAGCATTTCTAGACAAAATTCCCCGGGATTTCGCCTTAAAACTCGGCATATCTAGGAATATGGACATTGAGAAAGCAGAGATAACCTCGTCCGGTACTTAAACAGATGGTTATCGCGGCGATTAGTTTTACCAGTTCGGAAGTTGTTTTAAGTGTTGCTATTTGTCTTAAACGTTCACAATGAGGATATATTAATACTTTTTGCAATATTTGCGATTGAAAGACGGCTTGTGGTAAGAACTGGCTTTCTTTATGTTACAGCCTTGATACTAAAAAAATAAATAAACAGTGTAACATGGTGCCCTGTATTGAATGTAAAGTCAAACGTTGTATAAATGGAAATAAACATTTCTCCGGCGATTTGATTTTTTCCCCTTCCTTTCTTTAGTCCACTTGACATGGAGCCACGGTTAACTAGTTTGGGGCACAATTTTACTTGAAAAATAGTATTTAAACTGGTCAAGCTTTGACTTTACAATGACACTGTGTCGTTACTATCTATACATTACCTTGCTCTATTTAAAAGAAACAAGATAAAAGCACTTCAGCACATAAAATTAAGATTGTCACTTGCCAAATAGAGACTGCACCCTCCTGTTTACCTATAAGAAACACCTAAAAATATCGTTAAATTCTTTATTGATGATTTAATTGTAGACAACTAAAATGGCATTTTACTTGCAAAACAGTGACTGAATCGCTCAGTTTTTCATGGAGGCTAAAACTGACCAAATAAGGGTTTATGTATTATCTGTTGATGTTATTGTACTTATACTGTCTACTGTATCATCATAAACACCCCCAAAATGGCAAAAAATGATCATTTCCCTTGCCAAAAATTGATTACATTGTCCTGGTCACCTGTAAAGGGTTAAATTGACCTAAGTATTACCTAAGTATTACTTTATTTATTGTTCTATGTAAATAAATGTTACGCCGTTTACATCTGAGCGGCGGCCGCATTAATTAACGGAAACCCAACATGGAGGTCTTCCTCGAAAAGTAATGAATATGAGTAAAATACCAGAAAAATGTGTAAATATACTAACAAAAA